GGGGCTCAGGGCGGCCGCTTCTCCCCGCGCGGGGTTTGGGGTGTACGAGGCTGCTCCCACTCAGCCGGGCAAGGTGAAAGCGGCCATTTCCAGACCCGTCGGGTCGACGTGGCTTTCACCGACCATATCCGCGCACGGCTTTGGCCGTAACCCCCCAACAAATGGGGGGACACAGGATTAGTCCTGTGCCCTCCACAGCAACCCCAGCGCTTGGTAAACGGGCACATACGGTTCCAGGCGGCCCGTCAACAAAGCAAGACGAGAAACCACAGATGATGACACAACTGAGGACATCTAATTCTTACTAATTATTACAAAGGAGAGTCGGTAACAAACCGGCTGGGGCTGTGTGGGCCGTATGGCGCAGATATCGCCTCCCGCCCACCCTCTGCCCCGTTTCTTTCTGCGAAGGCTGTCACCTTTGTCACAAGTGTGAATTCTTACACCAATATTTTACATGTACACACGAGGTGTACCAAATAAAAAGCCACTTTCCCATCACATTTTTTACTTGCTTTTCCTTTCCCCTTCCGTCCAGAGTTTACAAACTCAATAGCAATACTACAGACTGAAAAATCCTGGCTGCCTACCAGTACTGGAGATTGCCAGGCACCGCTGCTACCGTGTCATCTGCGAGTCCCATCAATGTCTGCCTGATCCTACCCGCCGTTCTGCCGAGAGGTAAATTACGAAAAAGGAGTGTTTCCCCCTTAGTCACTGAAGTTTTTAGCTGTGGCTCTTTTCACTTTCAAACACCAGGTCTGGGTTTCAAACGCTACCCTTTTAGAAATAGGTTTCTACTAGTAGTAGTTCCACTGAACTTAAGGGTAATTAGTTAAGGACCAAAGACCACGTTAGGTAAACAAGCATGTGATTCAAGAGACTGTCGTACTTCTGGCACTAGCTCTTCACTAAGGATTTTGGCCTGGTTAGTTTTTTACCACTGTTCTTTAATTCCCCTTTTTTATGTCTCCTCTCTCTTTGGGAGTCACCAGTCAGCACTCTCTAAGAAAACACTGGGTATTTCAACTGAGTATTAAAAAAAAACAGCGCTGAAATCCCAGAGTTTTGTATTAAGTCTTCATGTGAAGATATGTCTGGAAGGGCAGGAGTTAAGCAACTGAAAATGGTTCACAACAGGCAGAAATCATGACAGTGTGTGGGAAGGGCTGGGGGAAGGGCTGAACTTCCCGGAATGATTAATATTCATTACTTAAAAGTCGCTTTTATGGACTTTGGAAATAACCAATTGATTTATTACAATCCGATGCCGAGAGTGATAGAGCAGAAAATGTAGAGCACTGAAAGTACATTCATCTCAGTGAACTCAGGCAACAAAATACCTATTCCACTCATCTCTATGTGAATACGTTTAATTCACATACCGATTGACCTAGCCTGCTTAAAAAGTGGCAATTTTAAGCTTACAGCTCTGAAAGAGCAAGCAGCTTTACCAAGCCCATCTGGAACGCCTCGGGCAGGGCACTGTTAGCAACATGTCTGCCTCCCAGGTGAGGCCTCTGAGACCCATCTGCCCCTCCAAAGACTGGCCATAGACTCACAGAATGGTTTGGGTTGGAAGGGACCTTAAAGACCATCTTGTTCCAACCCCCCCCACCCTGGGCAGGGACACCTCCCACCAGCCCAGGTTGCTCCAAGCCCCGTCCAACCTGGCCTTGAACACCTATGGATCATCAGTTCTGAACTGATTGCCAAACATGGCCAGGTGCTGCGAGAGGTACCGGGGAATTTTTAGAATGGACACCTGAACATCAGGAATCCTTCCATAAGGTAAAACAAGCTTTAACGTCTGCACCTGCCTCAGGACTTCCAAATTTGGAAAAAACGTGTGAACTCTTTGTTAATGAAAGGCAGCATATTGCTTTGGGAGTCTTAGCCCGAAAGATCAGGTGACGGAATCAACCTGTAGGACATTTTTCCAAGCAATCAGATCAAGTGAGTCAGGGATAGCCATCTTGTTTAAGGGCAGTAGCCGCTACCATATTGCTTGTACAAGAGGCATGCACACTGACTTCGGGACAAAAAGTGATCGTTCAGCTGCCATACACAGCAACCACACTTTTGGAAGATAAAGGAGGGCATTGGCTGTTCCCTAGCCAAATGATGAAATACCAGGCTGTGTTACTGGAACCGGATGATGTAAAATTCAAAGTTACTACAATTCTGAATCCTGCCACCTTACTGCCCGTGCCTGGTGAGACAGAATTAGAGCATGATTGTTTGAAAACTATTGAACAAGTGTATTCAAGTAGAATTGATCTGAAAGACCCATAGATGCAGCTGAATTAAATTTATTTGTGGACGGATGCAGCCAAGTAATTGATGGAACTCGGAGGGCTGGAGATGCAATAGTCACAGATACAGAGGAATTAGAAGCAAAACCTTTGCCAGCTAACACCTTTGTCCGAAAGGCTGAGCTGGTAGCTTTAATAAGAGCCCTGGAATTGGCAGAAGGAAAAATTGTGACTATTTGGACAGATTTAAAGTATGTGTTTGGAGTAGTTCATGCCCCTGAAGGAATTTGGAAAGAGGCAGGCTTGCTTTCAGCACAAGGAATGCCAGTAAAATATGGGGAACTTACTGGAAAATTATTACAAGTAATCAACTTGCCTAAACAAGTGGCGATAATGCATTGCAAAGCTCATTAACTCAGTACACTCCAGTAATAATAGGAAACAGATGACCTGATCAAGCTGCAAAAAGGGCAGCTGAACAATTAATATTGTGAATATAGCCTGAAAATATAGAGAATTGAGTGAGCTTCCTGAATATAAAAAGGAGGACAATCAATTAGCCCTGCTATTGAATGCCAAAAAGAACAAAGAGGGATGGTGGATCACAGAAGATGACCGAATAATATTACCTTCAGTGATTTTAAAGGAAGTAATGGAAGAAGAGCATCAAAAGACTCACTGGGGAATAGAAGCTATGGCTGATAGTTTAAAATTTCAAATCTTAGGTGTAGAAATGGGAGGAATAGCAAAGAGCATCATGAGAAAATGTGAAATACATCAGAAGAACAATCCTCAGATGCAACCTAGACCACCTCCTGGAAGAATCAAGAAAGGGAACGCAGCCAGTGATTATTGGCAGGTAGACTTTTCTGAACTCCTGAGGCAAAATGGGTATCAGTAGTTATTGGTGTTAGTAGACACTTTTTCTGGATGGCCAAAAGCTTTCCCCTGTTGCACCAACCAGGCAAAAGAAGTAGTTAAAATTCTTCTAAAAGAAATTGTTTCTAGATTTGGAATTCCTATAGGGATGTCTTCCAATAGAGGACCCCATTTTGTAGCTAAGATAATACAATTATTAGCAAAGGCATTAGAGATTCAATGGGATTTGCATATTCCATGGAGACTGCAATCTAGTGATATAGTGGAGAGGATGAATCAAACAGTTAAGAGACAATTAAACAAAATTTTCCAAGAAACTCAGCTAAAATGGCCGGATGCTCTTCCATTAGCATAGCTGAGAATCAGGATTACTCCTAAGTCTAAGGAAAAGGTTAGCCCGTTCAAAATACTGTATGGGCGATCTTACCAAATGAAGAAATAGGGAAACAGTATCTTAAAGAATATACAAAAACGAAGCAATCCTTTAATTGAAAGGCCAGCAGGTTTTCACTCTTTTGTTAGATGGTTTATACCTTGGTTAGGGGTAAGTGAATTGGAAAAAGCAATTGTGAATATTTCGGCTGGAATAGAGATTATAGAAAGTAGAACTATGGGTGCAATTACTGCACTACAAGAGGAAGTCTCTCAAGTGAGTAAAATAGCTTTACAGAATAGAATGGCTTTAGACATGCTGCTGGCTGCACAAGGGGGAGTTTGTACAGTGACAAACATGAGTCGTGTTTATGTAGATCAGTCAGGGAGGATTTCAACCCATTTACATGAAATTTGGGAACGCACTGAAGTTTTACATGAAATACAAAAAGAGGACACCTCTTCCAGATTTCAAGAAGTATGGTCCTGGTTAGCCTCCTGGATTCCTGAACTGTCTTTGTGGATCAAAAAGCTAATAGGAATACTGATTTTAGTTGTGAGCATACTCGTATGCATGTTTGTGATTTTACAGTGTTGTATTAAGTGTTGAAAGAAAATGAAGGGGTGAGACAATAGATAATATAGCTAAATTAAGTCTCAAAGGGGGGAACTGTTGTCTTGTAGTTAGAATTTTAGCCATTTTCATTAACATTAAAGTTGTTAGCTTTAAGGTTGTTAGCATTGAAGTTAGTTAGGCCTGTTAACTATCAGCGTTAGCTGAACTTCTGATATAGGGTATTGTGTATGACCATTTTGTTATGTACTTGGCCAGATGGTTGGCCTTGGGAATGTTTCTTCACAAGTATCCGGTCTAATTCATAGAGGAACTTTCTGAGACATTCTCATGGATAACGAGGATTCTATCCTTGAGTCGTATGAGAAAGAACACCTAATCAAGGAAAGCAGGTGGTGGTGTCTTTATTTGAAGTAAAACATCCTGGAGCAGATGAGCATATGAACCTTGAGAATGCTATTAATCTACCATGTTTTGAAAGGCCTAGCCAACTTGGCAGAAAAATGAAAATTCTGGGTGTCCTAAACTGAATTACCTTCTTTATAATACTAAAAATCACACCCGTAGGCCAACACGACTCTTGCCCATGAAGACCCTTCTTTTGCGCAGGTGTGGTAACTGCGGAGAATGACAAAACCGATATTGTAACCAGATGTAAATTACTAACCAATCATTGTAACTGGGAGCATGCTACTGTGTAACATTCGTGCATAAATAGGAGGAGAAAGCCAGCATGGCGCGGGCGTCATTTGTGGAACTACTCCACCGTGTGCCCTGGCCAGAATAAAGCAATGTCTCCTCTCTAAACATAGCCTCTGTGTTTTGGGAAGAGTCAGGACTTAGACCTCTTTCGCAGGTAACAGGGGGGGATCTCCCCAGAGCAGATGGACAGAATCCCCCCCCTCGCCCTGCTGGCCATGCTGCTGGAGATACAGCCCGGGGTGCGGGGGGCTTTCTGGGCTGCCATTGCACATTGCCGCATCATGGGGAGCTTCTCATCCACCAACACCCCCAAGTCCTCCTCTTCTAGAGCTGTTATGGCATTAAGCCAGGCTAGGTCCTTTGGCTTTTGTTACATCTGTGGTGCAAGATGGGTAAAGAAAGTACTGTATACCCTCTCCTATTTATAATGATGCTTCACTGATAATTTAATCTATGTTCTTGGAGACTGGAGATCAAGTTGATTCTTGGTGAACTGCAGTTGGTATCAGAGTCGCAAAATTTAAGATCTGTAATTCCACCCTTCCCAGCCCAAAGGAAAAAAATAACATCTTTTCCATGTCAGGGAAAGGCACATCCCACAGATACCCTGGGCTTGACAAGCCTCGGGTATCCCCTGCAGTGCGTATCCTCCTTCCCCCAGCGTTCCCGTAATCAGCTCCGGCAGGATTATCAAGGAGGACAGCCTTACGGTAGATGCTAAGCACAGGTTCCTCTCTACAAGTGGTGATGCTGCCCCAGTGAAAAAAACAAACCAAACCAACCAACCAACCAACCAAAAAACCCCAAGAAACAAAACAAAAAAAACCCAACCCCAAAACAACGAAAGAAACAGAACAGAAATAATCCTGCAGCCTTGCAAGGATTTAAAATAGGTTTTCAGATCCTCATGGCAGAGTGAAACTTCTGCATAGCTCTTCTCACATTGATGGCTGCATGTCTCCAGATAGAAGTCTTACATTTAAAAAGTTAGAAGAATATTGATTATCATTTCAACCTTAAAAGATAAAAGGCCAAATGAAAAAGACAATAATTAATGTAGCTGGATCAGAGAGAATGTAAAGGGGGACGCTGGCCTGGGAAATAGAAAGTGTCTTCATGAAAGGACACTGAATGTAAGGAGATGGCTCTTCATTCTTCCTGGACATCTGCTGGACTCAGGCCCAGGACAGCGTTGGGGGTCTCCGCGGGTCGAGGCGGAGCCAGCCGCTTTCGCACGCCTCTGCGGCCTTCTTTCTGCTCTGATGGAGGTGCTGTAAGAGGTCATGTGCCTATTACAGTAGTAATTATTCACGTAATTACGTTATGTACGTATGTGGGGGAAAGACGGTGATTTACGGCATGCAGTTACACGCGGGATTCTTGTCAAACGCACATTTTTCTCTAGGAGCTGTTTGTTCCAGGGCTGTCTAGCTAACCTCTGTTCTCTGGTTAGCCTCCAGAACTGTGGGCAGTTTACGGACGCTTGGTCATAAAACTAAAATATTTCATATAAATATGTGTTCCTTGCAAAGAATTCTGTGTGAAGTGGGCAGGTAATCACTAATATACTAATAATACACGTTTATTACATTAGTTAGGGCATAATATTGATTTTGGCCGTGACAGTTTGCTTTGTTTTACAGAACCTAATGGCATTATATGTTGATCTTTTGCATAGGTATTATGTAAGTAAAAAGGTTTCTGCCATGATGAACGAGGATTGTTTGATTGGAGAAAAATCAAACAAGAACACAGTGAATTATTTTTAATACCCAAGACTATTTGGATTTTCTTTTTTATTTTAGGAAAAAAAAAGCTATCGCAAAGCGTTCTTTTCTTTGATCATTGAGTCTTCAATCCCTGCTAGCTCAAAACCAGGAAAATTCACCCATCCTGCTAGCTGGTTTTATATGCAAATTCAGAAACAGTATTTCTGGTGTTCTTGTGCTTTCTTAGTTTGGGTTGGATTTTGGCAATTTCATGTTGGAAATGAAGCGTGGAAGGAAATGGAATATATATGTAACAGAAATTGAGGGATGGTTCCAGACACGAGCGTTGCATTGTTAGTAGCTGGGATAACTATCCTTAAATGGCAGAACCATTGGCAGCCAGCAAAGTAAATCACCTTTAAACAGCCGCAGTTATTTGATGTGCTGCTCTGTATTTTAATATTTTGTCCAGTTTTTAAGGAAAGTTATTGTAGGTGAATTCTGTTTCTGAAACTTCCTAGTTTTAGATACGTATTAACACGTCTGTTAGAAGATTACTTTTGTGGTTTCAGAATGAAGTGCTCTACAAAAAAATCCCCAAATCCAAAGCCCAGTACACCAACTCTTCTTTTACCATAGCCCAGACTGCCTATATAGTCTAAATTTGGCTCCTTTGCACATAGTGAAATACTGGCCCCGCAGGACCCTACTCGTACAAGCGTTGGATCTGTCTTGGGGTTGTGCGCTGGAGAGAAGTCTGTGGTGGATATGTTGTAGAGGTGAACTGTAGGAAGAGAAGAGGTGGCTTCAGGGAGACCTGCGTTGTACCCATGTGTCCATAGTGTTTGATACTAGTAGATACCAGTCTTCAGGGCAAACTTACTGGTTTTATATCCTGGCATAAGTTTGTTTCTGCGAACAGGCCGGGCTCCTGCTTTTGACTGCTGACTTCTGCCTCCTTTGTTCTGGCACTGGTGTTCTTGTTACTTCAGCTGGGTCATTTTCTTGCTATAGAAAAATACCGAGTTGCTTGCTGTTACAGCTGCGTCAGTGAAGGCTGTGCGCCAAGGGAGAAACGGCAACAAGATGCAAATAACTCCGCTAACCCAGGTGCCAGATATCTCAAATTGGATGACCAAAAAATTACTTAAAACATTTAGCCTAAATTTCTTTTGTATTTTGAAGCCCTAAATGAAAGAGAAGGATAATACTCCTTCATCTTGTAGGGATATTGTGAAGATTTCTCAGTATTTATGAAAAAGTTATAACTCTAGAAAAGCCTCTGAAGAAATTAATATGGAACGGAAAATATGGTGTAACCAAATAGGCCTTGCACAGAAGATGTCGAAAATATTGCATAGCTGTTGAAGTGAACATTATCATATATCTAGAATGTATATCTTGGTGGAAAAAATAGCATTTTTGAAAACTGCGCATAAAGGTTATGCAGTTCATACTAGACCAGGCATTTTTTTGGACTGGGTTAATTTTTAAATTTGCTATTTTAAGGAGGTTTTCTGTCATTTCCTCATGTTCCTGTCCATACAGAGATGCCAAGGGCTCTGGCACCTCTAGACCCACTGCAGGGCTCCGCTGGGTGCTCAGGGATCTGATCTCAGGGTGCTTTAGTGTCTCTGATTTCATTTCACACCAGAAAGGGGTGTATTTTCCAATAGTGGCAGGTTCTTTTATCTGTTTCTTCTAAAGCCTTTTCTGTTCATTCTCTTCTAAACTTCATGTCCTGACTTTTCCCTGCCCATGGTGTTCATCCATTTTTTTGGGGGGGTACAGGATATAAATTATAATTGTAAATTCTGTCCATAATCTGAATCTCCTTATGTACCACATTATACTGAGATTTTTTTCTTGCATATAGTATTTCTGAGTAACCAGCCCCATTTCCATTGCTCTTCCTCTTTATTTGATCTTTCTGTCGGTCTCTCTGATTCTGCTGTCCCCTGTAGAAGTTCCTTATTCTCCCGGGCTTCCAGATCAGATATAACTTCCTGAGCTTCTCTACACTTCTGTTTCTCTTTCTCTCCCCTCATCCATCTTATCCCAATTTATTTAATCAGCTATTACTTGTTTTATGTATACCTCGGCTTTTAATCCACAACTAGCTCTATGACTTCTTCCATTTTTCCTGCCCAAACCCTTTCTTCCCTCCTCCTTCTGCTTTTCCCCAGCTCCATTGCCTGGCACTTGTCTTTATGGTAATCCACATGGCTTCATTCTCCATGACAGGCAAAACTGAAAAGTGGAGGGAATGGATTTCTGAGTGGTGGGGTTTTTTTATTTTATTTTTTTTTTTAAAAAGGGTGTGTGTGTGTGTATAGACATACACACATATATATAAACTGATATCAGCATATTCTGTTTAGTGTGTGAAAACTGCCTTTCCGTCAAAACTTAAGTTTCTGCTCTAAAACTTGGACATAAAAGGTTTTATGCCACTGTTGTTTGGTAGAGAAACCAATGTGGTCTCTGGTCTTGCTCTTTAGATATGAATGATCCAACCAAATTTTATGGATAGAGAATTTTACCAGGAAAAAAGCACATCTGATGGAAAATACAGTCTACAGAGTTAAAGCTTGATAAAATTAGGAAAGCACTTAATAATTTTGTATGTTGGATGGCATAGTAATTGGCAAGATCTTTTGCCTTGTCTAATAGCTGCTGCTGAAAGTTCTACAAGGACTGTTACTGGAATGCCAGCTTTACTTGCAGTTGCCACTGATAGCTGAGGAAAGGATAACAACTTCTGTTTCCAAGTGAAGCACATGGGTTGGTTCTTTTTTTGGGGGGTGGGGTGTGGTGTTTGTTTGTTTTTTACCTCTGTTTCTTCCCACCCACTGGACATGGTAATGTTGAAGAACGTCTCTTGCATGGACAAGCTATTCACTGCAGCCTGATTGTAGCCTAATTTTACATCAGTAAAAATGGCAGTATTAGTGTTTATGTAAGTGGCAGAAATATCGCTTAAGAAAAAATCAGATTTAATATTTAAGATGCTGGTTGCAATACGAGGGAACTTTGTTGGAGGAAGTAGTTAGAGGTTATGATACGAAGGCTGGATTTCCCTATTTGTCTGCCGTACTTCAGAATGGGTACATTGTTCAGACACCAACCACGGTAATGTGTCGTGTGTCTCAGCATTTGTTGGCATGATGTCTGAGAGAACTACCGAATTTTTCGATCTCTGGTGAATTAGAATAATTATGGCCTTTTTTAGGTAACTGTTGAGAACATTCTGTTCTTGATGAATTTTGCTAAGCCACAGCTTGGATTTTAGAGTGACTGGAAATAAATTTTTAAAAATGAAGTACGCTGATCTATATTCATTGTCAGGCTGCATAAGTATAACCTTATATATTGTCAGTTGTTTTTGTAGATTCAGCTAGCTGTACAGTTTAGTACATAGTGGTACTTTATGTATATAAACAGTATCTACACTGTTTCATGCTCCCATGTTATCACAGACATTTTAAGAATGTTTGAAAGTATTATACTGCATTTATGTAATATACTGTTTAATTTTTTTAGAACTTAGATTAGTATACCATTCAGGTATGCCGTAACTCCATGATTTACTTTTCTTTAAAATTTTAGTACTGTGATTTTGTTAAATGCTGTCTGCTAATGCTTCTTTTTATATTTTTATGCAAATGGCTTAAGAAAAGGCATCATTTTGGCAAGCTACTGTGTATTCCTAGATGCAAAAGAGCTAATAGTTTAAATTTTTGTGTCTGTGCCATTTAGTGCTACAACGTTACTTTCCAGTTTATTAAATCTGCAAGATGTTGGATGAGGTGGATGTTTCTAATTTTAATAATTTAAAAGCTGCAGCGCGCTGGTGCCAATCTAGTTTTTAACATCAGGTTAAATTTAAAGTATATTAATGTGTGATCTGATAGACGTTTAGTGCAGTTCTTGAGTTTGCGTGACTTGCATGTTGGGCTGAGCCTGTGCTCAGCGGTGGTGAAGGTTAGTTTTTGGCATTTGCAGCCTGTGCTCAGCGGTGGTGAAGGTTAGATAGTTTTTGGCATTTGCGCTAACAAAAATAGATCTTGGATGTCTGTCTTGTTGCTGTCGAAGTCATCCTCCTTTCTTCTGAATTCTGACAACTCTCTCTGCGCTTTCATTGCTTAAAGACTTGATCAAGCCAGATCAACCCAATTGTTTTGGCAGTGGGATGCATTTTGAAAAGCTAGTCTTACAATTGTTTCTGGGAATCTAGTTAGTAAAGGTGGATCTTTGTCATGAAAAGTCAGTGAGTAATTTTTCAGAGCTACATCTTTAGGCTAAGTTGTACCTCTGGTGCTTGAAGGCAGAACTGAACAGTACGTGTACCCTGGGCTTGTTCAGGACCTTGGGTTTTAGAACTTGCTACTACTTTCAGTATCTGCCCTGTGCCTTCTGGAGGCAGTTTTTAACTCATCTGCTGCAGAAATGTGTCTGCATAACAACTTTTCTTGCTGTCTTTTTGTTTATACATCCAATTAAAGCAAAATCTGCATCATTTTCAGGATATATGGGCATTTGAAACCCATTCTGGACCTTTACTGGGTTGATTCTGCCTCTGCTTTTTGGGGGTCATAAAAACTAATTTGCATTTAGGTGACTGGTCATTGATATATTACACATAATAGAATTAATGTCCAGTTACAAATGAGGCAATAAAATTATTTCTGCAATTTTATAGTGAATTGGCTTCATTGAGTGCAATTTCCTCTCTGTGGTCATGCAAAATGGTGTTTGATACAAAACCTGAAATCGTGTTCTTGCATGGCAAAGTACCCCGTAGTCCCCTATGACTTCCTGCTTTGGTGAAAGCAGGGAGACAATAGAAGTTACAAGTTTCATGCTGTCAGACTTGCTTCCATCTAAGTAATTTATTTCTTTCTTTTTCAGTGATTCTCCTTTGCCTGTTTCATCGCGTGTCTGTTTTGTAAAGTTCCATGATCCTGACTCGGCAGTTGTGGCCCAGCATCTGACAAACACTGTATTCGTTGACAGAGCGTTGATAGTCGTACCATATGCAGAAGGTTTGTGAATTGTTTAATGGCCTATGAAGCCACCGTTTGATGGCGTTTTATTCCTGTATAGTTCACAAAAATGAGGATTAGTAAAATGTCAAACATATAAGATATTAACATTTTGAAACCCTTGGTATATTGCCATTGGCCCGTGGGTTAAATAATTTTTTTAATCTAGTGAATGAAAGTGGAAAGTTTACCTCTTACTGGTTTTGTGTGTCTTTAAGTTTAGAATATTAACATTTTAGGCAGAATTATTTGCAAATTTTGCTCTTTATCAGTCTCAATGAGACATTTTCCTGAACTGACTTAGGCAAGCAGGTCAACATTTTAAGGAAATCTTGCCTGAATAATTAAGCGTTTGCCACTTTCACATAGCCGTAAATCTCTTCATGAGAATGGTTTCTCCCTCCCTGAGAACGCATGGGAGAGCAGGTTAACATTTCTTTGAGATACGCTGCCACTGTATTTAGTTGGGAGCTTCCCTGAAAAGGCACTCACTCCCATTGTGAGGTCCAATATACCAAGGGTTTGAATAATTATGGTTTAATTCGAAAGTGATAGATCTTCCAAGAGGTGCCAAATGGGCACTGGTACTAGTTTTTTATTCCAAGTTTTCTTGTTCATCCTTGATATATTTTATAGAATTTCACTAAATAATAAACTCTTCTCTCTGTTATTTGTGTGTGTGATTTTTGTAGTGGAGAAGGCAAATGCAAAGCCCTTCCAGATGACTGAAAAACAGTGGGTCCTCTGCAGCTACAGGGGATTCTAGACATTAACTAAAGGCCAGCAAGCACTCAAGTCCCCAAGTGTTTTCCTGGTGTAACCACTTGTTAACTACATTTTCTCTTCTTCTTTTTATTTTTACCTTTTAGGGTGTTACAGTAATTTGAAAGGCAATGAGCAGGGTTTTTGGAACTTACCTTAAAAACAAAGTGCTGAGAAGACACCTCTTCTTACAGAAGTCTTATTAAACTCTTCTAGACTTGCTTTAGAAGTAATTGATTTCCATTGTACTGTTTCTTGATTTACTTCTGAAATAATGGAATTTCCCAGATTGCTTGAAATAAATAAAATCTCTGCAGATTAAGTCATACTACAGTAAGAAATTTGGTACACGGCCTGGGTTCAGACCTATAATCAAGGCATTGTAATGCGTAGGCTGTCTTTTGAGGCCTGGGGAGCTGTCTTATCTTTGTGTTCCTTAAACTTAAAAGGTATGCAAACTTAATTTCTGGAATGTAGGAATCTGCAGCATGACCTTTGATTGAGACATGCTGCTTTTTGAGAGTACAGAACACATTCTGAAATTGCTGTCGAGTTACTGCTTCTGCTTTCGCTAGTTTTGGTATAATAGTGTAGTTGAAAGGCATCTTGTCCTTGTCTTTGTATTAAAGCATGATATAGCAACAGTCCATCTGAGTTAGCACTGAAATGTTCTCCAAGGCCCATGGTGAAGATCGTTAGTGTTTAACTTTTCCAATAAGGATAAAAATATTTTTCTCTTTGTCAGTCTGACTTTGTCCATTGTGCTTGATGGTGGATAAATCTGGCACATAGAGAAATCTGCCCAGTAGTTTTGGTTCAGATTGTGTAAAGAAAATAAAATTAATAAAGTAGAATATTTTAATGGGCCTGTTTAAATCAAGGAGTTCCTCGTGGGCTGTTTCTTGTGGTGTCCTAGCGTTTCAGAATGTTGGTGGTTTTGGCATAATGATGTGGCATATCACAAGAGATATGTTCAGCCAATAACGTTATGCCCCCTGGTTTGGTAACCATATGCTTTTGTCCCTGTACTGGAGTACAATTTTCCCTGCAAATGCATAGTGCCAGGGTCCCAATTCGACAAGCTGTTCAAGCACAATACAGCAAGACTCTTAAAACCCTAGTGAAATTGCTCATGTGCTTAAAGCCAGGCATATGGTTAACTACTGTGCTGAACTGGGCCCTTATATCTCTTATTTTCTATTGTGATAATTCTGTTTTAATATTGCCTGTCACTAAAGTAAATGTTTATTCTGTGTTTAGTGCAATAATTATCCCCTATATCACAAGTGCACTCCAGTTTTAGCATACACAGACATTTTGGTGTTGGCTGTTGCTTTGTGTTATAGAACTATACACAAAGTCTACGGTAAGGTTTAGTATTTGTAATTTTCACTGTGATATTCCTAGATTTGGAAGGAAGTCTAAGATTAAAGGTGGCTGGGGGGGGTATTTAGGTTCTTTGGTTAATGTTTGTTTCTTTTGTCTGTTTCTTTTTCTTTCATTTCTACACATTCATGCAGTATTTCATGGTTCTAACAAAGCAGCAGTAAAAAAAACTCTTGAAGCATGAAAATTAACTGGTGAGGGGCCTCATTGCTTTTTTTAAATTGTAGTTTATTTATTTCTAAATACTTTAAAAAACAAACAAACAAAAAAAAGATTAGAGGATCAGATGCATGATTTTTTTTTAATGGATGCAGATCTTCTATGAGGTGTCTCAAGATAAGTCTGAGGATTTGTATTTAGATGCCAGAAATGTTGTAGTTGCACTAATTTGAAATGTTTAGCTATAATTTATAAATATCCTCTGAGACATAATTTTGCATGCAAAATTACCCCATAATCTCTCTGTAGGTGTGTTAATATATTTATGCATTAATGCCCTTTATCTAAATGACCTTTTTCCCCCCTCTCCCTCCATAACTTTTGGTATCTAAATTGATGACAGCTCAATGACACAAGCAAGATAACAGTGCTGTGTATTATACATTTGTTTATATTATCGGCACTTCTCAGTATAGGTGGAAGGAACCATTACCTTTATTTAACAGTGGTTTTTCTTTTTTGTTGTTGTGTTTTACAGTTCTTTTCCCTGGTTCAGCCTGAACTATATACCAGGCCCTGCTGAAAATACCACCCAACAGTTTTCTTCTGCAGCTTATCCAGTTTCTCTTAAGTGCCCTGTACATATTGTATGTTTTATGATGAGATGCAGTTTCTTAATATGTATTACAGAAACACTACTGGTATTTGCAAATATATAGTAAATTGTTTTATTGAACTCTCATTTTGGGGGCTTGGGCACATTAACAAATTAATCCATCTGTATAGGGCTTTTGCTGTTGGATAGAATAAAAATACCTACATAATTACTTGTTTCGTAGTAGGACCCTTAAAATTATATGTGCAGAGCAGGCAGTAAAATAAGACACTTGTCTTAGTTGGCTGCAAGATTTTGGGCCAGAAGTTTCTTCTGAAATGGCAGTATGTAGCAGCATTCTTGGTACAATAAGCATGGCACATATTGGAACAAATGCATTTTACTGCACAGGTAAGGAATGTGCCGCAATATACTGTATGTATGCACCCATCCACCCACAGACACACATACACAGCGTGTATTTGAAGATCTGCAGAGACTTTCATTTTCATTTGACAAGTCAGCAAAAGCCCTACGCTTGATTCAACAAAAAATATTTCCATACCTTCTCTTAAGTTTTACAAAATTTATATGGTAGGTGTAAAAGAAAACATAGTGAACTGTACCATATTATTAACCCCTAAATCAAACTTTTTTTGTCTTGTGTATCTTGATTTTTCTGTGTGCTTTATAGTGAAGCAGCCGACACGAGTCGTTGTTCATAAAACAGCTTTTGAAAGTTGAGAGCACACCCCTGGAGAACCGACTGTGCTTGCTTACGTTTGGTTCATGACTTAAAAATCGAGTACAGGTGATGAAATCTTGGCAGTGTTAACAAAAAAGTAGTGTGTATTGTGCTATTTTTTTGCTCTAGAAACTTAACCATTTGTAGAGAAAAAGGAACAGTCAAATTTTCACACATTGAAGTTTCATTCTGACAAATAATTAATGATAAATATTAATAGACATCAAGCTTTGTATTTTAGCCAACATAAGTACTTTCAACAAACTCAGGTGGTGTATCAGGGAGACATTTTCTGGGTGTTTTTGTGTATTTTCTGCCTTTGGAAAGGAATGCATTCTAATGCAAGGCTGTTTCTCTGCAGGAGTTATTCCTGATGAGACTAAGGCTTTGTCTCTCTTGGCACCAGCTAATGCCGTGGCAGGTCTGCTGCCTGGAGGCGGACTCCTGCCTACTCCCAACCCACTTTCTCAGGTAGGTTTTCCAGTTAGCCTGACGTCCAGGGAAACGATTAGATGTGTTCTGTTAATGTTCGAACTTACTTTCTGTTATTTTTTGCAGGACAAATAGACTGATGTGCTAATGCTATTCCTAGAATGTTTTGGTTTATGCATCCTAATGGATTGTTACAGCTGTCCGATACAAGTTGTGGCAGAATGGTGCTAAGTTGCTAGGTGGGATACTTTTATTGCCCTAGTGTGATGCTTCTGGTATCTCAGGGGCCCTGTGTTTATATCTCTCTCGTCCCTCTTTTATCCATTGTACAGTTACGGACAGATTTGACAAGCAGTAGAGATCTCGTAGGTTTTAAATTTGTGAAGTTCAAGGAATTGACGTGCTGTGGAGATACCTTCCGTTAATACTCCAACTGAGGGGGGAAAAAATTGTAGCCTGTGTTTGTTCATTATCTAAACACACAAGAATTGGCGTGGCAGGTGAACGGTAAGAATAACACATTGTGGAAAAAGTTTTGGTCAAAGCACATATCTTATTAGAGAACAGAGAATCAAAGTACAAGAGGCAAATTAATAAGAAGAAAGCTTCATTAATTCTGCAGTTCTCAAATCTACTTCAGCTTGTGCTTAGCTCTTCTCTGTGTAGCTTCTGTTACGATTTCTGGTTACATGAAAGATACACATGCCATTGAGGTCTTCAGAAGTTTCTCTTTAACCGTATGTAGAAGAAAAAGTCTGAAGTTTAACTTTGAAACTCGAGGAAAGGAATGGAAGAAACAAATACCATCTTAAAGATTTTTTTCACCAAAAACTGTATGTATATAAATGCCTGAAAATGGTTGTTGAACCATCTTAATTTTCGTTCTGTCACTGAATCCCAGCCTACTCCCAATCCACTGAATGGTAGAATTCATTTAACACGTCCACTTTCTGGAAAATTGTGGTGGATGGTCAGCTTTTTCAAACGCATCTTGAAAGGTTGTTACGCAGTTCCTTGTGACTGTTACTGGGAGCTGGGCATCTAACTTGGTAAAAACGCATTAGAGCTGTAGTTTATGTTCATAAGTCAGTGTGTGGGAATGTGGCTTTTTCTTCTGAGAGTGCAGGGAGAAGCCTGCACAGTTTGAAAAGATCAGCTAACTGAAAAACTCATTGTCAAAAAGTGGAAGGTTCCTTGCTCTTGCCAACATGCTCCTGCTGCTGCTTTTATGCTGGCTCTGGAGCGCATCAGGTCCTTCTGTGAACTATTGTGTTAGCTTGATGCAGACAGCACAAAAATAAGTTCTCTGACAGCTCAGTGGGCTGACAAATGAGACAAATGGGTGCCGGAGCTGTCAGGAGGCAGTGACAAGGAGGGAAGGGAGAGCAACACCTCGTCGCAATGGCACAGCGTTCGATTCACATAAGATCACGTGGACTTTAGCACAGTGTGTGTTTTGTTTCAGTGTATGTTCTGATCATCTCGCTTCAAATGGCCAAAAAATGAGGTTCTTTTATGAGGCTTCTTGGTTAATTTAAGGAATTCAAACGTATGCCATCATCCTACGTACTCTTCCAGTAACTTTTCAATCCATTTGCCGGTTTTAACAAATCTGAGAAATTTGCAGAGGGGTCATAATATAATATTGTCTTTTAACATAAAACGGAATCACGGAATTTTCAGAGTGTGAAGGGACCTCTAGAGCTCACCCAGCCCCACTCCCCTGCCAAAGCAGGACTGCCCAGAGCACATCCCTCAGGACTGCATCCAGGCGGGTCTTGAACATCTCCAGAGAAGGGGACTCCCCCACCTCCCTGGGCAGCCTGTGCCACTGCTCTGTCACCCCAACTGTAAAGAAGTTTTTCCGTGTATTTGAACAGAACTTCCTGTGTTCCAAGTTGTGCCTGTTGCCCCTCGTCCTGTCACATGTTAATTTCAATCCTAAATTGATTTAGATATGTGGTAGTTGGCTCAGAAACTAACAATTAATTTTCATTTTAACACTGGAAAATAATTTTGAACTATTTCTTGAATGTAGTGGAATGCTTTATTTCTTTAATCTTTAATTCTTTAATCCCCCTCACACCCCAGTTGGGATGCAGAGAAAACAGAATTTCATTTTAGAATATTTATAGGAAAAAAATCTTTCATATACTAAGCTTTGTAATACCCGAATAAGGAAAACTGAAATGCTCTCACAGACCTTAGTGTAACGTTTCGTGTAGCTAGGAGCCGAAGCAAAACCCAGTTCAAGTTTCCACGTGTCTAATGCGTGGGCATCTTGATCTAACAGCTTTTTGAGTTGAATATGGCTTTGTCTAATTGCTGTCTTCGTTACAGATTGGTGCTGTTCCTTTAGCTGCTTTAGGAGCTCCTGCTCTTGATCCTGCCCTAGCTGCTCTTGGGCTTCCTGGAGCAAATTTAAACTCTCAGGTATGTCACACATTCCAAAATTTTCTCTGTTGTCCCTAGCACATAAGTAATTTCACTAGCATGGGTGATGCTCTTAGCGTTCGCCAGTATATTAAATAATAAGCTGAAGATCTGGAAGTACTGTACTTAGGTTTGAAGAAGTGTTCCAAAACATTACTTTTTATTAAAGGCTTGGCTCAATGTAGCCTGCACAGGGTGCTGGTGCTTTAAACTTCCTATAATTATTATAGAATGCAGTCAATGTTTCTTGGCGTAGCAGGTTTATATATGAACACTTCTCTTTTGCTACCCTCTTTTCTGTTTTAATAGTAATTTTCATTTATATCAGTTTAACAGCCACTGTCTGAAAAATCCAGTGATTGCTTTTTTTTTTTCTGAGCACCTGTTTGGAATAAATAATGTCTTCACGAGTATCAAATTAAATGCTGGAAGGACCTAAAAATAATTTGGGACTAGTAATGAAATATTTCAAATACGTGTTCAAACTATGAACGTGTCTTGTACTTACAGTAAAAAAAATAAGGTTTGACTTCTTAATTTTGTAGATGTAGAAAATACTGAGGAGACTTTATTAGACTGTAGTCTTTTAAAACTGAATAAAAACCACTAAGTAACAGTATAATACTGAGTTAATATTTAAGATATAAGAACTAAATACTGTACAGAGAACATGTTTTACAGGTACAAGAAGTAGTAATAATTTAATATATTGCAAAGAAATCCATTATTTAGCATTGTCTTTATGCACGCCATGGGTAGTAACAGGCAAATAATGGTGATAAAGAAATAACAAATTTTTAAAAAGCATTCTAGGTGCGTATTAGAAAAATATAAATTTGGTATGATGAAGGATTGTTTCCTTTGTCCATTAAGCCAGCTGATGGTAACAAACTGTTTGGGTTCAGCACGTGGCTGCTTCTTTATAAAGAAAATTAGAGGGAACTAAACATTTTGTTGTTAATCACCACTGGTACAGGAAGTGACCAATTGTAAGAGTATCTGGATTTTCCTAAGAGCTGTAAAATACATTTTTAGTGGAATTTTTAGAGTAAAGAAGCTTTTGCTTATTGTTTATAAATTGGCATTGAGGACTTTGCATGGACAGGGCAACTTAGTTTTCTAATGAGGTTTCTGTTCCCTTGAAGTAACAGAGAAATAACCTGTAAATACCAGAAGTGTATTTTTATTTTAAAGTGCTTTGATTCTGTCCAGGGAAGGGCCTCTGTTTGGCTGCTGTGGAACAGAAGGTAACTAAATACGATGTTTGCACCCTCACCACCATACACAAGTTTTAAAAGAGAACAAATATGCCTTTTCGTCTGTAATTTGTTTGGGGTGTCTTTTGTTTTTTTTCATCTGTAGAGGCTTTTTGCTGTAGCCACTGCTGAGGGTACGTTCACGGAGGATAATCTTCTTAAGCACACACATCTTCCAACATGGTTTTAACTTTCTTTTTTTTTTTTTTTCCCCTCACAGTCTCTTGCAGCAGATCAACTACTAAAACTTATGAGCACAGTGGATCCAAAGTAAGCATCAGCGTTTACAAATACTCATATTGCAATATACTTGATCTTGGGAAGATCTGTTGTGATTCAGTATCCAGTCTTTGTCCTGCTGGATCTAATTAAGGTCGAAGAAAACTAGTATCTTGGGGATCTTGTGCAGACTCTTTTTTTCCGTGGTAGAAAAAAAAGGGGGAAGAAATTATTCAGCCTTGCATCTACGGATTAACACCAGTTAATCTCTGAGATTTGATTTTACTAGAGACAAAAATTTGGGAGTTTGTATGCCATTTTTGTCACTTCTGTGTCCGCGGTGTAAAGGTGCGGCTAGCACCTTCCACCCTGCAAGGCTGAAGTGAAAGTGCAGTGCTCATGGCAGGGCTTGGACTAGATGGCTTTTAAAGGTCCCTTCCAGCCCAAACCCGTCCGTGATTCCCCGGTTGAGAATGAGCCGAGACCAGCAACCGTTGTAAAGGACAACAATAGCAGAGTCTATGTATGTCACAGCTGTCAGAAGATAACACACGACAGCATGTCTTATTACTTGGTAGAAAAAGGGAGCAAATGACAGTAAACACAAGTATTTGCTAATTTTTATTTCAGTATTCAGAAAAAGGACAATTTTGTTCCAAATAGTGTGGCACGGGGACAATAAGTTGGGAAGGATTGTAGCACTTAATATATTAGTGTGCCGTTAAGCTGTGGATAACAGTGCAATAGGATGAGGAAAGCATATGCCATAGAAGAAAAGCTGTTAGACAAATTAGTAGCTGAAAAGTGCACTAAATGCAAAGAAGCCACATCTGCCTTGGAAGGCCCTTGCAAATTGCAGGAAGCTTTGGAGAGAATTCAGCTCTCAGCTTTGGGAAGGCGTATCAGCGTGTGCTTGCCCTGCCGCTCTATTAGCTAAATAGCCTTCTAACGCTGTCTGGCTGTTCCAGTGTTCTTAAATTGTCAGAGCCATCTGCTCTATACAGGGGATAAAGCTATATATGCGATCTATCTTCAGTTTCGATACTGTTCTGGCATATCAGTCTCTGTTTTAAATTGACACTTCTGTAGGCAGGGAATGCATAACTGATTGAAGAAAATAACCCAAGATAATGGATTAGGGAAACATCACTTGGATATGTTGGGTATACCTGGTTGGCTTCAAAGCCACCTTGTAGAACACATCTTCTGAACTTCAGATTTCATCACTGCTTGTAGGCTTCGCAGTACGGCTAATTGAAATGGAAGCCGACTTTCTGCTGTGTAATATACTGTTTTCTGTGGAGTTGCTCCTTCAGGTGATGAGAATTGAAATTGTGTCGTACAAAAATGTTCTGAAAAGTGTTGTTAGAAACGTATCTGCATGAGACAACACACGCTTTCCTGCTATTGACAGTTTACTGGAATTCTGAGAGCTGTATGTGCTAGTATCCTGTGACACTGTGTTCAGCACAGATATTACATCTTGGGCTTACTGCTCTGTCGTCCGAGTGGTGACAAAACCCGGGCAGGTTCTGATTCGCTTAGATCGGTCACTTTGAATAGGCTGCAAACTGACAACAGTGGCCTGGATTTCTTAGGTTCATCAATGCTGAATTTCTAAAATTCTTTTTTATTTACCAGGCTGAACCATGTAGCCGCAGGTCTCGTTTCACCAAGTCTGAAATCAGATACCTCCAGTAAAGAAATAGAAGAAGCTATGAAAAGAGTACGAGAAGCACAGTCGCTAATTTCTGCTGCTATAGAGCCAGGTAATGTTACATTGTAGAATACCTCATTCAATTCAAGATGGAGTTTTGACATAGTATGTGATAAAAGTTAATGGTCTGCAAAATGTCGGCTTAATGCTTTCGTGTTCTATAGTGACTTAATTTATAGTTGGCAGTTTTAATTGTCCTACAGCATGAATGCTGCGTGTGTCCTGCAGAACGGTACAGGGAATTGCTCGTCTGTTGTTTTTCCCAAAATTCACTTGATTTGAAGACTGCAAAATGCTGGAACTTCCCCTGGTGGAACCTCATACTGCTGTCTCTGAGATTTCACTGGAAACAGCAAGTGGCTTAACCACTTGGCATCCTAGGGATGTTTGTTCTTGGGGATGATTTCCTTGTAATTCCTCATCTGTGGAAGTTTGTAAATAATCCTTTTTTTTGGTAGCTTATTTCGGTAGATTTTACTTTAGAGCAAGATGCAGCAGTTCATCCATAAATGTCAGATCCACCAAATCTGAGCAGCAGTAACTTGGAGCACTGAAAATATAGTTTTACAGCCTCCGGATCATTTTCAGGAAGGAGTAGAGAGCCTCTTCCTTTATTATACCAGAAAAACGTGCTGATTGTTTTGTCTGAGGCTTTTTGTGGGAAATTCAAGACAGTGATTTGAGAGATTCTTTAGTCCTTCCCAAAATGGCAGAGATTCTGAGATTTTAACAAGACTTTCCATTGTCTTGCAGCTATTATCTTTTAACTGACTTAAATTAAGCATTTTCTGAATTTTGATTTTTTCAGTTTTGCACAGGACTTTGTTGGTTTTATGCCACAGACGTGTCTTTGTCATGTGTTCATTCTTTGTGTCGTCTTTTGAAGAAAAGGACAGAGAAGCCATAATTTCAGATGTCCAAATATTCCTTAGGTTTTCTTTATCTTATTTATATCTATAGCGTGAATCTCACCTTCTTTTCCTTTATAAAATCTTCTTGAATACTAAAATAACATTGGGGTTTTTACTATTCTTTTCCTTTTTAACTCCAGACAAAAAAGATGAAAAACGAAGGCATTCGCGGTCCAGGTCACGCTCAAGGAGGAGGAGGACACCTTCTTCATCTAGACACAGGTAGTTAGCTTATTTACTTTAAAAAGAAACCCGCATAGCTGAAACAACTCCTTCAAAAATACTTCTTGAGAGTGACGCTCCACTCGTGGAGGCTGACAGATGGAAGAATGCAAATGGTCTGAGGAAAGGCGAGCCGTGATTTGGCTGGAGCGTAGTGCGAGGTGGAGGCCTACCTCTGCTTTCGTAGACCGGGTCGGGGAGAGACGATAGCAAAGAATACCTTAAACTACTGCGGAAGGAACTTTGAGACACCTAGTCCTAGCGGAGTTTGGATTTTATTTAACAATAAATTGTTTCTTGTATCAGATAAGAAACCCCTTAGCACAGAGCCTTGGTTTTAGGCAGCCCTCACGACTGTGAACACCTAAGCCGTTGTAGGCTGCCCATTTTGAAACAGTTCCTTAAATTTCTGTTCTTTCTTCACCAAATGAGCCCACTGGAAAGATTGATTATAATTTGTCTTAAAACCAAGTACTAGGAGGTTTCTCTGAGCATTGTTCTTTATGTACATAAATGTTTACCTGTTGGGCTGTTGGTTTCTAGCATGTGCAGCAAATTCAGCTTAGTGGAGGTATCTGGGACAAAAGTTTGTCCAGCATTGCCTAGGTTACGATTTACTTGGAGATCAGGTCTGCTCAGGTATCCTGACTAGAGAGCTGAAAATTGTCCTACCCAAAGAGGAGGACGTAGGGCTCTCTTATGCCGTTGGCTTGTGAACGCCAATGAACACCAGTGCTGTGTGCAGAGCCCTTTTACCTGCGGCCTTCCCCCTTGTGCTTCTTTGCTGTTGGCGTATTCCGTAATTGGCTTGAATGTCCCTGTAGTGTCCTGAAATTTCTTCATATTTCAGCATGACTGACCAGCTTTCCTCTAAAATAGGACTGGTATTTTCTTACAAGGAGAACAGTAAGAGCGCTGCTGGAAGCATCACTGTTCTTTCACACCCAGCTTTTGTGCACTCCCTTTTTCCATTTCCTTGGTGGGCTCAATGCAACTCTTTTCCTGTTTTCTATATTCTTTTTCCTGTTTGTTTTCTATATTCTTTTTCCTGTTTTCTGTGTCATTGTGCATTACAGTACTATTAGTACTGAGCAGATGGATTCGGAATAGTATATCAAAATTGCATATATTTAACTCCTGTGTACAATGTGTTACTGGTAGACGGTCAAGAAGCAGATCAAGGAGAAGGTCCCATTCAAAATCAAGAAGCAGGAGGCGATCTAAAAGTCCAAGGCGAAGAAGATCTCATTCCAGAGAGAGAAGCAGAAGGTCCCGGAGCACATCCAAAACCAGGTAATTGCTTCAGTAAATCTATGCTGTTTGCTAGAGATTAAATTATAACATTTTGGTGTTTAATTAAAGTAAAACTAAAAAAAAAACCAAACCCAAACCCACAAACAGACAAAAATCCTAGGGCAAAATGAACCAGTGGCTCTTTTTAAAGTCACAGTCTCTTGTAATGTCTTCTAGAATTGTATTACGCTTGCCCTGTACGTGTGCACAGTTACGTACATAAAAGCATGCCACGTGCTCGCCCTGAGAGTCAGCAGATGCAGCGGGCATTGGCTGAACCACTCAGTAGCTGTCTTGGGAAAGCAGGAAATGTGAGCACCTACACTGGCAGATTTTGTGCTGTTTGTACACAGAAGCTATAAAAGAGCTGTTCTTTTATTTTGCTGTAGATAATTGTGACCTTTGTTTCCATAAATACAATGTGACCGGCCCCAGAAGTACTCAACACCATATGCCGTCCAATGTAGTTATCGCTGCTTCATTCATTTTCCTGCACAGCAGAAGTAGTGAATGCTACTTGACTGGTTTGAAAATGACTTAAACTTAACATCTGTGTTTTACTAAAAGGGATAAAAAGAAGGAAGAGAAAGAAAAGAAACGTTCTAAAACTCCCCCCAAAAGCTACAGCACAACTAGACGATCGAGAAGCACAAGCAGGTACAGTAACACGACGGTGTTCCTTGGTCTATTTCCAACGTGCTTTACCCACTTTAATAGGAAGAACGTTCATGTATGTAATCGGGTGATGATTCGGCTGCGTGTTGGGTGTACGCACAAATGCTCTCTCTGCCTGTGTCTACAAAATGCTTTTTTTTTTTTTCCCCCCGATACGGTAATTTTCTGGAAGTATTGTTTGGGCTTAGAATAGTTTCTACTTGCTCCGTATCAAAGCGAGTATGATGCTTTGCGGTCTCTGTTAAACTCTTTTTTTTCCCGATTTATGGAATAAATACATGCAAAATGTGTGCCATTCTTTTCTAAAAATATTCCGAAATTAACTTGCAATATCAACAAGAAAGAACAAACTGGTTTATTTGTATGCACACAAAGAGTCAGTGTCCCTAAACCAGTCGAAGTGAGCGATTTGTTCATCAAGGTGGAGGCAGAACAGGAACCAGCTTACTCTGCTGATCAGCAGCTGTGAGGGCTTCGCAGTACTGCGGAGAGTAAATGTCCCTTTTCAGTTATTTATTACCTTTTGAGGGGTGCTGGTTTTGGAGCCAAAGAAGTATTTGTAGCTTTTAAAACAAACAAACAAAAACAACAAAAACCCCAACTTTGATCTCTCTTTCCTGCAGAGAAAGACGACGTAGAAGAAGCAGGAGTGGATCACGGTCCCCTAAAAAACCCAGGTCTCCTAAAAGGAAAATGTCCCGGTCCCCATCTCCAAGAAGGTCAGTAAGGCTCTTGGCTGGAAACTCAACCAACAGGTGTCTGGGTGGAAAGTTCCCCAAGGTGTGAACTCTAGCAAAGATCACAGCGGGGTTCTTGTGAGGATGGTGTGTGTCTGGCCCGTAGGTTGACTTCTTGAGCGAGAGGGGGGATCTCTGCTGCCTGTGACCGCTTTTGGCGTGAGTTAATCTGCCTCGAGCATAGAGCTGCTCTGGTGGTGCCCAAGAGCTCCACTGGTGAGGTGTTCAGGGGTGAGGGGAGGAGAGGCCCGGAGTTCCCGGCTCTCTGCAACAGGAGTCAACTGCCTTTTGGGTGGGCCTGGGCACTGCGTGATGCTCGCGCCCCCAGCGGGGAACTCGAGGTGCTCCTTCATGCAGTGCTGTAGTGTTGCCGTTCTTCACGTGCTGTTTCTTACACTTCCCTTTGGGGTGGCTGTGCTTGATCAGAGCGAAGAAGTCGGGATGTTTGGTTATTTGCCGAAAGCGAATGGTGTATCTGAGCTGCACACAATTTTCCCTTTGGATTTGGAATGAGCTGTGGGTAACAGTCTGGACGTGGCCTGTGTGCTAGTGAGTGTGGAATGGTGTGACCGTGGGTTTCATTCTTCTACACACTTTGTCTTTGTAGACATAAAAAGGAAAAAAAGAAGGATAAAGACAAGGAGAGAAGTAGAGATGAGAGGGAGCGGTCGACAAGCAAGAAAAAAAAAAGCAAAGACAAAGAGAAGGATCGAGAACGGAAATCCGAGAGTGATAAAGACGTGAAAGTATGTTTAAAAACCTGTTTAACTTCAGGGCCTGTGCTGTAGTAGTAACCTTAAACGGGGGCTTTGAGAGCAAGTTTTACCTTTTTTTTTTATCTCGGCAAAGCAGGTCACAAGGGATTATGATGAAGAAGAACAAGGATATGACAGCGAGAAGGAGAAAAAGGAAGAAAAGAAAATGGCTGATTCTTCCTCCCCTAAAGCGAAGGAGTCTGCCGGGGATAAAGGAAGCGGGGATCCAGCCAGGGAATCCAAAGTGAACGGGGATGATCATCACGAAGAGGACATGGACATGAGTGACTGAACTTTGCCTTTGCAGTGACCGCGGCTGCAGACGTGCATCAGTGTCATTCCTGTGTGATTCTTTTACGCTGTACTTGTTAATCCTAAATCTAGATGTATACGGCTCAGAGCTATCCATGGTTTGTCGATCTCCTGATACTAACTCGCGTCAAAAAGCTTTCTAGAGAGGTAACCGTTCTCGTTACGGCCGAAAGGGACTGCGTGGCCAAGCGATTTTTACTAACTTGGTGATGCTTCAAGCAAAAGTAAAAAGCTGCATGCATCTACAGCAGGCATGGACTGTTTGTTGTATGATCTCCTTTAGTAAATCAGCTCACTTAACGATAGTGTTTCTAGAATTTGATTCCCTGCAGTAATAGAGCAGTATAGGGAATGCACTGGCTGCATGTTGATTGTGGCAGAAACATCCTCCATGTTCTACAGTCCTACAACGTACGGTGGATCTACTTAAGGGTCTTAAGTGTGACTACACAAAAAAAAAAAAAAAAAATAAAAATAGGACAGTACATCTGAAAATAAGCATTCTGATATAGATAGTTTTCTGGTTTTGTTTTGGTTTGTTTTTTTTAAGCCACGTGGCTGGGGTTGGTTTGTTTCGTTTTGTTTCTTCCGGTTTTGTTTGGCTTTGACAAAGTTAAAATGCACTCACCTTTTTGAGGGCTTTTTTTAATCCGTCAGTTCAAACCCATCTCAGGCAGTTGTAATGGTTCTTTTCTCCTTGAGCCTCGGGAAGTGAAAATCTCTGCGTGATCCGTGCCCAGTGATTAAAGGTTGATTTGTGCAGTTTTCATAATCCAGGTCGTTTTATTTGTTAATGAGCTAAACGCAGTGCAAAAAGGTAGTGCATTTTAAAATTGACCTTCGTATGCTTTTAAAAGCAAGTCTACTTGATAATGTACTTTTTACTTGATCTCAAGTTGTATAAACTAATAAATTTGTGTTTACTGTCACTGCAGTAGTAATCTTATGCACACAGTGATTCCATGTTATATGCAGAGTAGTTAGGCAAGCTGTTTTCTTAGTTACGGAAGTTCAAGAGCTTTTACTTTTGTGCAGGTAAAAAGACAAAAGTAGGCTACAGTCTGTGCCATGTTGATGTACAGTTTCTGAAATTGTTTTACAAAACTTTGATAATAAAACCCTTAAACTTATACTTCTGTTCCTACAAAACTCTGCTGGTATTTATTTACACCGCTGAATGTACGAAACTTTACCTCATTCGTTTAGAGTGTACATTTTTCTTCATCTGCCTGTTTCAAGACGACCGTAACAACTCCAGCGCTTCAGAAGCTGGCAGCGCAGTGACAAAGCCGGCCGGTCTGCCGCGTCGGCTCGGGGGAGGCACGTTACACTGAAGAGAGAATTATTGTACTTCTCGGGGAATAAAGGGAAAATGGGCTCAAACGGGAATCTAGAGGTACTGTGGGTCAAGTACTTTTTAAAAGAAATGCATATTCGTAAAAGTTTTTTGTATTTCCATTGAAATAGGACCATTCATCTCTGCAGGGTAGTAATGGACGAACTGGCAGGAACAGGAGGCAGCGAGTGCTTTGTGCGTACGGAGTTGGCTGTTCGTGTCAACTGACGGGTTTAAATTAGTAAGTTTTGGAATGAAGCTCTAAGTGGTGCTTGAACTTCTTGAGCCTGATGGGTCAAACCACCATCTTTTTACACTGTCCTTTTGCCCCGGGCAAAGCCGAACTCGCCATTTAGGTATTCAGTGTCATTTTTAGAATTTGTAGAAATGTAAATTTTCACCAACTGTTTTGAGTATTTTGTCAATACAGAGAGGTATATGTCATAGAACCAGTTCGAGGCTTATTTCTAGCGGAGAGAGAGGGATAGTTCTTGTAATAAAATATAACGAGAGACAGACAAGGTGCATGATGTCTTCCTAGATGTGCCTTTGTTGTTGTCATGATACTTATATGTGAAGTACAAAAACGTAAACCAATTTATAGTAATAAAGTAAACCTCCTTGATCCTTGGGCCCTGGTGTTGTGAAAGTCATTCGCATGCTGCAGCGAAGAGCCACGTCAGGGTATTGAGCTCAAGATGGTAGACCAGGGGCTATGTGTAATTAAATTATGTTGTTTCCAGTTAATCTAGTCACAGCCAGAGGATGTGCTGAAGCGCAGTAATTGAGTAACTTGCTAATTGTGAACCGAAGGGTGAGGGAAAGCGGTTCTGTGCTTTTCTCCTAGCGCTGGCTGGCAGCTCCCACCAGTGATTTTTAGACCGAACCTGTGATTATTGGACAACGGAACCACAGGTGGGTGATACTCCTGTGGGCTGCAGTCATTAAAGCTCCATTACATGCTGCAGTGGCTATTGCTTCTGCTGCCGCAGTTCTTAAACCCCAAACCATTTTAATATCAAGTAGGGTTCATTTTTGCTTACGCAGCAGCCTTACGTTTGCTACTGTCAGCTGTCACTCGGGTCCCCACTAGCGCAGCTCTTCCCTGGGCACATCAGCATCAAAAGTGTGTTCCCTCTGCTCTTGAGGACGGACACAGCTTTTCCTCGAACATGGAATCAAAAATGCGCATAGTGATTTTGTTCCAACTTCCCAGGTGCCCTGTCAGCACGCAGCTCCCTCTGCTGCGTTTCATTTGGAATGAACGGATGTAACGATGTGTAAAAATGAGACCAAAGTACCACAATGCAGCTGGAAAAAGTGTCGTCCTGCTGTTGACGCTGGGGAATCCTATTCTGCGATCAGACGGGGGTGACACTGTATGCGAAAGCAGAATGTTGTGCTCAGCCACACCATCACTGATGTGGAACGCCACGAGCACGCGCTGTCCCAGCCAGAGCCGGGCTTGTCGCTACCCACGGTATTCAATGCGGGTTGTAGCAGCATAAAGGCTACAACTGTCCAGTTTACCAAAATCTTTAACTGGTGATGTTTTAAGCACTTCCTGTAACTCCAAACATGAGTTTGTCTTACCCTTTATAAATATGAGATTTTAAAAGTTACCAAATCCTTAACTATAGAGGGGTGTCCTGATCTCTGCTCTGCACACTCAGCTGCCACTGCTGCAGGAGGGCGGGTGAGCAATTCTAAGTAAAAAAAAAAAACAAAAAAACCAAAAACCTTCTACAAAGCAAAATGGAACTTTCAAAGTTCCAGGTTTTGCTCCCCAAGTCATCCACAGTTCCTCCGAGAGACGCCCGTTATCAGCAGTTGTCAAATCCCGTTATTGAAAGGAGTACATTTCTGCATTTAGGAGATAGAACTTCCACAATTACTGAACCGAAAAGGTTTGTTTCCTCCTTCCCTCCCTTCCCGGCAGCTGTTCCTAAACTTCTGACTCCTCAGCTCCAGGTAAATACCAGAAGCGACTGTCCGTGTCCTTCCCCCTCTGCTACCTACATAGCCCAATAAAATTTGGAGCTTTACAGAGGATAAAGAGCAGTCTATAATGAAAATGCAGGATTTTATTTAAAAAATGACCAATAAAACACCCTTGCAGAAGGTAGCAGCGTGGGCTTGTCCCCGCTGGAATCCCTGCTCAGAGCCGCGTCTGCAGCGGCGATACACCCCCAAACGGGCTGCGACAGGAGAGCTAAAACTTGATTTTCACAGGTTGGAGAGTTTCAGAATCCAAGAGGGTATTTTGGTCTTTATTCTAACAAATGATACAACCAAAAATTACTATTAGTGAAGGTAAGTTAAAAACATGGACCAGACAACTAGTAAAATGCAAAAAAAGTGACATTGTGTCCATGATAATTACAAATTTAAGGAAAATAAATGAGAAACTGCAGCATTACAGGAAGTTTGTTAATACAGATTAAATAATGCAGTTATCCTCGCATGAATTACAAATCAAGAACAAATACATTTAAAAAAACCAGACAGTTGCTTTGAATATCAACAAGGTGGGTTTCCAGCACAAATATATCCAGAGTTTTTTTGTAACAAATCATTTCAATACATAAATCAAGAATTGCAGTAAAGTGAGTACAGTGACTGGAACAGCAGCTCCTTGAAAGGAAAAAGAAAACTCATTCCCTTTGCCACAAATTAAAGCAATATTTTGGAAGACCAGTAAAATGGTTTGGTTAAGAAACAACCCTAGGAATTCTTTTGTGACAATTGCTTATTTCAGTTTACCAAAATTAACGGCTGTCTCTTAATAGTTATTCATAAAAAACCCTCACAGCCAGCAGGGGAAAAGAAATTTAAAAAAAAAAAAAGTGGTGAAACCAGAAAGAAACAGTGGCGCAACTCTGCGCGGAGGTGCCCTCTCCCGAGCCGCGGTACTGAGGTTTCCCCCTCTGTGTGTGCAGTGGTGTTGGCTTCACCTCTGCGCCCGCCCCGGTGTCAATGTGCGTCCCAACACGGCGACTCTCCCCTGGCCCGCGCCGGCTCCCGTCCTCACCCCGTCCTCACCCAAGCCAACGCAATGGGAGAACCTCCGTAAACACGCAGGGAGATGTCTTCACTCCCCCGGGGACCAAACCTTCCCTTAACACCCAACACCGTCTTAAGGAAAAGATACGGGGAAAACCGACAATTAAGTTCTGCTAGGTCAATCCTGCTAGAAAAAATAAATTTCCAGGAGATGGGGGGAGGAGATGGCAGAGGGTAAAGGACAGCGGTGGCCACAGCACAGCTGCGGACTCAGGACCGGGAACACTTCGCCCACCCGTGGCACCAGCGAAGCTTCTGTGCAGACGCGCCCGGAGCAACAAATACACACGTCGTGTCAGTACAACACAAAACTCCTTGCAAGCCAAACAAATCATAGCGGGTAAGACATTTCTAACAGCGCGGGGGGAGTCGCCACTGAAGAACGGCAGCGGCACAGCTACGCCACCGGCATCCCACCGCCTCGCGCCTGCGGGTCCCCCCGGTGCGGTCGAGACGCGAGTCCCTCGGGTAGGCTCAGCGAACGTCCCTCTCGCCGAGGAGGACTCCTGCAGCTCGCAGGAAACCCTGCCCCAAGCGTCCCTACGTTTTAAGTTTCACAACCCATCACTAGGAATGTTTCAGACAGAAAACATCACCCAAAGGTGGAAGGAAATATACCGAGAAACAGCTCACCCTGCCCAAGTTCCCCGGGCTGCCACAGGAACCCCAGCACCATCACTGGACTGGGAAGGACTGGTCAGACCGCTCAGCCCCACGGCAGGGAGGAAAGGAGTGCCAGCGCATCTTCACCATAATAAAGACTACAGTCAACCAAACCTGCGCCCACTCCTCTCCGCCGACACTCCAAACCAGAGCCAGCATTAATATATAGCAACCCACTAGAAGAAGTTTCTGCAAATCTTAAAATGTATCAAAGTTAGTAGCTGTGTAATCACGAAGGTTAAAAAACCCCCCGAAACCTGCAGCCGGAGTCCATGGAAATCATGGAAAATGTTTCCGCGAGCTGCAGCGGGCTGAGTCAGACACCCCGTTTGCCCTCAGAAGACGTGGGCGGCTCTAGGGGCAGATGGAGAGACACCGAACCCTCCGTTTCTGTGTGAGGCTACACAAAAAGCTTTGTTTTGTTGGTTTGTTTGTTTGCTTAAGTCTAGAATCCAGTCCCTTGCGGTGGCTGTATTGCCTAAAGCACAGAGCTCCAGCTCCATACGCTGCCTCCCGTGTCAGCAAGCGGGGATGGTGATTTGGAACAACCAAAAACACAAAGTAAGACAAAACACGTGGTTCTTTCCCTGTAATACTGAGGAAAAAGGATTTCTGACATTCACCGTATACAGAAACGTTTTTCTGCGTTTGCCGGAATTCCCAAGGACTGGGTACCGCTGCCCAGCCCCCGCACCAGACCCCATCCAGCAGCGCGGCAGTGCGGCCCCGCAGCGCGCACCCGCAGGGAGGGCGACGGGACACGTCCAGGCTGAGCGTCGCCGACATTTCGTCCCGACCTCCAGAGCCGACGGCACAGCAGAGCCTCTGCCTACATTCAACCCCGCTCCCACGGCAGAGCCCTACAGAGCTCCAGCTCCGTACGCTGCCTCCCGTGTCAGCAAGCGGGGATGGTGATTTGGAACAACCAAAAACACAAAGTAAGACAAAACACGTGGTTCTTTCCCTGTAATACTGAGGAAAAAGGATTTCTGACATTCACCGTATACAGAAACGTTTTTCTGCGTTTGCCGGAATTCCCAAGGACTGGGTACCGCTGCCCAGCCCCCG